TCCAAAATTTCCCCAATGTTACAAAATTGGTCTGTAACAGAGGGAAGATTTGAACCACACCCTGCCTGATTCCAAGGCCCCGCACCCTGATTATAATTCTTGTCCTGTGACATGTCACATGGATGCTATGTTGCTAGTCCTCTGTCATCAAAATGAACATGTTAAAACATATCCTGTGGACACCAGCCTTCTTGGGGGAAGGCAGAGACTGAGTAACCTCTTCCCTGAGTAAGTTGTTGGAAGAACCTGGAGAAGGGCTCTAATGTTTCCAGAGGGGTAAAGAGACCTCAAGAGCACTCATGCTCGAGGATGAGTGTGCGGAGACAACATTCCTGAGTTTCTGAAACAGTGCCTGGAGGCTGCTAGAATAAATCTGCTTAAATGGAACATTCCCTACAAACATTATGTAGGTACTTCTTATATTAAGCAATCAAGATGAGGAGAGAGGACCCTTTTCATCAGAAATTTGAGCTATGGTTTTTCACAATGCTTTCCTAGATGTTTCCCCTACGATAAGGAGAGGGTTTCCCAGGTGGCTCAGTAGGTAAAGAATCCACCTGCAATGCAGGAGACACAGGAGACCCACGTTGGATCGCTGGGTCAGGAAGATCCCCTGGAGGAGGGCATGGGAATCCACTCCAATATTCTTGCGTGAAGAATTCCATGGACAGAGGAGCCTAGCAGACTACAGTCCATGGGGTTGCAAAGAGTCAGACACAAGTGAAGCAACTGAGCACACACACAAGGTAAGAAGAGTTAGCTGTTAGTTTCTGAGGAAAATTCTGAGGAAGTTACAATATAGGTCTTGACTTCTTATGATCTGGGGTTTTGCTTGGCTACTCAGACCATGGACACAGTGTTCCATAGGTGTCTATTAACCAAAGCAGTAACTTGGCTGTTCGTGCAAAATCACTTCAGTCGTGTCTGACTCTTTGCGGCCCCATGAACTATAACCAGTCAGCTCCCCTGTTCATGGGATTCTCCAGGCAAGAATACTGGAGTGGGTTGCCATGCCCTCCTCCAGGGGATCTTCCCAACCCAGAGATCAAACCTGTGTCTCTTAACGTCTCCTGCGTTGGCAGGTGCGTTCTTTACCCCTAGCACCACCTGGGACGCCCAACTCTGCTTTGTAGATGTGAACTAACCTCTATTTACAGAACAAGAACCTCAGGAGAGCTGGAGTGACTTGAACAAGGCCACAAAGTGAGTCAATGTTTATATGAGGATTCCCTCAGGTCTGGCAGGCTCCAGCAGCCAAGGCCTTCCATTCTGCTCCTCCCTCTCACAGAAAACAGAGAGCGTACATGGAGCACTCACTACAGGCAAGACCCTGTTCTAAGCATGGTTCACCTGTTTTATTGTGATCTTCCAAAACCCATCAAGGCAGTTAACTACTGCATTTTCTATTTCACAGACCAGGAAACTGAGGTGCAGGGAGGTTATATAACTTGCTAAGTCACATAGCTATTAAACAGTGAAGATGGAATGCTAACTAGGAAGACCAACTCGTCCCTATTTGCCTGGAACTTTCCCAGTTGTAGCAGCGAAAGCCTCACATCCCGGGAACTCCCGGGCAGTCAGTGACCCTGATGCTGATCCAAGCTGAAGGGAAAAATGTGTTCACACAGGTGAGACCAAAAAAAAAGAGGCAATAAGTTACCAATGATTTGAATGATCATGTGCTGAGCATCATGTTGAGCACATGAGCACATATTCGACAGGTTTAAGAGGTCAAGAAATTCTCAGACTTCCCTGGTGATGCAGTGGTTAAGACTCCCAGCTTCCACTGCAGGGGGTAGCACAGGTTCAAACCTTGGTCAGGGAACCAAGACCCAACATGCTACGTGGCATGGTCAAAAATTCTTTAAAAAGAAATTCTCACAACTGCCATTTGACAGATGAAGAACCTGAGTCTCAAGAGAGGTCAGGTGACTCTCCCAACATTACATAGCTTATAGGTGGGAGCCTGGGGCTCAAATTCAGGTGTGTCTGCCTCGGAAGCCAGGCTGTTAAATCAGTGAGTTCAAGTGTAAAACCAAACTTAGGCCTCCCTAGAAATGTTTCCCCTTTTATAAAACATGTGAGATTTGAAGAGCTTTAAACTGGATTTGATTATATACGTCTCTAAGATCCTACCACACCACTTACTGAGTACCACACGCAGCCTGTTTTCAGAAACCACCACAGGCTTTGATGGCGTCCTTGCTTCTGTCATCTCCAACCCTCTGTAATCTCCACACTTTTTAAAGGGAAAAGCGACACGTGTGGCTGTTTTCAGGGTTCACTCCTTTCAACACAGACCATCCAAATCCCGTCCCCCAACAAAGAAACCCCAAAGCCAGCATCATCCGGGAAGGATCCCAAAATTTGGCCCTTGCCTTATACAGGGTGATATTTGAGATGTGTGGGAAGTGCAGCGTGGCCACAAACAGATGGACATAGTCACTGTTCAGACCACCCTTGTAGATATTCTCCGCGATGATCTTGCTGACAAAATTTTTGCCAGTGCCTGTCCACCCGTGCAGGGAGAGGGTGAGAGGTTTCTTGGGCTTCGGGTTGCTGATGAAGCCAAACACAGCATTTAAGATGACTTTCTTTGCAAGATGCTGTCCAAAGAGCTTGCTGTCGAGATCCTTCTGCAGCGCTGCGAAAAAAATCAAAGCCAGTCAGGCGGGGAGTAGGGGGACACACCTGGCAAAACGTAGTCCAGTTTACAGGTTCACGTAAAGCCAGCAAAGCCCGCTAAGGTCTTCCAAGCGTTTACTGGGACGCAGACGTAGGTAGGCACTCGGCCCAGGTGACCCGTGAGTCCAGGAGGCCCTCCCTCTGCAAGTCCTGCCCACTCTTTGGGATGAGACCCCTGGCTCCAGTGCCTCCGCCAGCAGCCCGAGCCCCTCACCCCACCTGTCCCTCCCCACCCGAAGACCGGCAGAAAAAAAAAAGGGCAGCGTAATTCGCCCCGCTGCTCCGCGTCGGGAGAGCCCCCGCCAGCCTTCCCGTCTCCGGCGAGGAACGAGCAAAAAAAATCTCTGAAGGAAGTTTCCGATCGTCCACCCGCCCGCTTTCTGGGCGAAGGTGCAGCTGGCATCCGCAGGTCTCAGACCAAAGTCCGATCGGCCTGCAGTCGTGGCCCAGGAGCCAGGCCCTGTGCCGCACGCCGGTTCCGGGTCCGGGCCCCACCTCCAGCCACCGGCGGGGCACTGCCCGGGCTTCCGGGCCTCCTGGCCGCCCCCCGCTTCTGACCCCCTCTCCAGCTCTCGCACCAGCCCCCGGGCCATCCTACCTTCCCGGCTGAGGCTACGCTTCGGGCTGCAGCACTCGGCGAAGAGGCAGTAGAGGCGCGGGTAGGAGATGTAAGTGGTGAGGACGCCGGCCAGGGCCAGTCCCAGGCTGATGGGCTCCACCGCCCGCACCGCCAATGGCGCCAGCAGCAGCAGGCCCAGCGCGGCCCGCCCCAGCTTCATGCCGGGACCCGCGCCGCCCTGCGCGTTCTCGCGCCTACCGCTGACCGGCGCCGCCGCCAGACCGCGCTTCCGGTTCCTCCCGCCGGCGCCGCCTTTCTTCCAAGAGGCGGATCGCCTCCGACGCCGGCGGCCGCCATCTTTGTGAAGGGCAAAGCCCTTTCCTGCTTTGGGCTCTGGGGTAGTTGGAGGGGCCGATTTTTTTTCTCTTTTAGTAAAACTTGCTTTTGGGGAACAGTTTTACATGGGCTTCCCTGGTGGCTCAGACGGTCTGCCTGCAATGCTGGAGACTCGGGATCGATCCCTGGGTCGGGAAGATCCCCTGGAGAAGCAAATGGCAACCCACTCCAGTACTCTTGCCTGGAGAATCCCATGGACAGAGGAGCCCGGCAGGCTACTGTCCACGGAGTCGCAAAGAGTCGGACACGACTGAGCGACTTTACGTTTCTAGGAAAGTTGAGGGGACTGTACAGAGAGGTTCCGTATTACCACACCCTCGCACGCAGTTTCCACTGTTGTTCACATCTTACTAGTAGGTTTTGTTGTTGCTGTCGTCAGTTATGTTGCATTTGTTAAAATTAACGAGCCCATGTTGATATATCGTAACTAAAGTTTTTCATTTGCTTGTTGTTTAGTCGTTCAGTCGCTCTTTTTTTGCGACCCCATGGGCTATAGCCCAAGCCAGGCTCCTCCATCCACAGGATTTCCCAGGCAAGAATACTGGAGTGGGTTGCCATTTCCGTCTCCAGGGGATTCCCCACGGCCAGGGCTCCAACCCGTGTCTCCTGTTTTGGCAGGGGGATTCTTTAGCACTGAGCCACGTAGGAAGTTCTAGTCTTTTGTAGGATTCTCAACTACTGGAATTTGATGCTGTTCTTAGATTGGAGTTATGGGTTTGGGGGAGGAATATACTTTACAGAGATGCTATTTTTATAACATCATATCATAGGTACATATAATCAACATGATTTATGACTGTTGACATTGACCTTCCTCACCTGGATAAGGTAGTGTTGGTCAGGTCTCTCCCAGGTAACAGTTACTTCCTCTCATTCATTCATTCATAATTTTGAGAATCTCCTATGGACTAGATCCTGGGGATTGAAGAAAAAAAAAAGAGGTGCAGGTGAATCCTGGCTTCACTGACCTTGCGTTTGAGTGGAGGGGAAGAAAAGAAATCTTACAGACGAGAAAACAGGCTGCAAGGCAAACGGATGTGTCCAAGGATTTAATAAAGAAGCTGTGAGCAGGACTCAGATCTGACTCCAAAGCCAAATGTCAGTGTGGTTACACGATACCTGATTTAATCAGCCCAGGAGTCAACCAACCTGTTCTTTCCTCATCACAACCTGGGTACCTACCTCAGGAAAAGCAACAGCACAAGTGGCACCAACCTGATAGCTCGAAGTTTGGTGCCTACCCCAAATGAGAAAAACCCCTCTCAATGACTGAACTTTGCTTCTGAGTTACCCAAGCCCCAGGCGATGAACACATGATCTGAGTCACTGCTGGTGCAAGGAGACACAAAACAAAAAAGGCTGGGTCCATTTCATGTTTATTATTTAAATGCTTAAAATGATAGGAATTACTTTTTGTTTCTTTAATGAAAAGAAACATAACTGTAAAAGTCAGAAAATACTAGTGTTCCTTTGATCGTCTAGATTTTTCTACTTTCAGCTGGATCCACTGTAAACAGTGAAGGAAGCATTTCTGAATCTCACTATAGATATTTGAAAGCAAGAGACAATGACTGCATATATTATAATAAAAGCCCAATCAAAAGGATATTATATCACTCTGAAACACAGAGCTGTTTCCTCCTGACCCAGGGCAAATACTAAGAGAAAGTCAACATATTTACAAACAAGATTTAATAATGCTCACAAGACTAGTTTGCCCCTAAATAGGAAAACTACACATTGTTTCAAAAGGTTACAAATTCAATGCCTGAAAATCCCACAGGTAAGCAGCAGGACTGACAGAGTCTGTTTTGGGAGCCATCTGCTAGCCAATGAGCAGGCTTCTGTCCAGGAAATCTTTTATCATGGGGATAAAGGGAGTGGACAACAGTATTTATATCCCACGCTGCACCTCTCCCCATTTAGCCTCCCTCAGTACCGCCTGTTCATCTTCTTGAACTTCTCGTAATGATAATCATCCGTGGCCTTCTCATTGGCAGGACGCTTGCGGTTGGGAGGGGACCCTGAGAAGGAAAAGAGGAAAAGCTGTTTGCCATGCTGGAAGCCACTGACAGGCTTAGCTCTGCACAGGCCAGGACGACCATACCTGTGTCTCACTCTCAAGAGGCGCCTCAGTGCCTACCCTAGTCAACAGGAACACAGGAAGGCCTCAGTAAGTATGTGTTACTGAGTGAAGAGCAGCAAGTATGGTGGAGTCAGGTGCCAGCTGAAATAAGCTGACTTTAGTGTTAGACCACGTGAACAACAGAGTCCCTTGGACTGCAAAGAGATCAAACCAGTCAATCCTAAAGGAAATCAATCCTGAATATTCACTAGAGGGATTGATGCTGAAGCTCCAATATTTTGGCCACCTGATGTAAAGAGCTGACTCACTGCAAAAGACCCTGATGTTGGGAAAGACTGAGGGCAGGAGAAGAGGGTGACAGAGAATGAGACTTTTAGGTAACATCATTGACTCAATGGACATGAGTCTGAGCAAACTCCAGGAGATAGCAAAGGACAGGGAAGCCTGGCATTCTTCAGTCCATTGGAGTCACAAGGAGTCAGACATTACTCAGCGAATGAACAATAACAAATTCAGCAAACTCTCAACTGAATTGAGTCTGACTAGGTGTCAGGCATGGCACAAATGTTTTTAGACACGACTTCCTTTCACCTGCCCATAAATCCCAGCAGGGGCATGTTACCATCTCTCCTCAGAGAGGTTAGCTGACTTGCTCAAGGTCACTCAGAAAGTGACAGGAAGCTAAGCGTTGAACCCAAATCTGGTGCCTCTAAAATCTCTGTTTAACAGGTATTAATAACAGGAAACTCTTTGGGAATCAAAGACTACTCGGCCAAAGTGTTACAGAAAATAATTTTTGAAGTGGGAAGGGAGAACCAGAGAAGTCTCAGCAAATGTAGCATTTCCTAAGAATTGTCTCATTGTTGATGAAAAAGATGACACTGCCTGGTGCTAAGAGCATGTGGGAAAGGGCACTGCTGGATGCGGCTGGTGGGAGAACACGTTAGCATCACACTTCCAGAGAATCATTTGTCAAATTCTCAGAAGACAGCATTAAGAACACGATAGAGTCAAGGACGACCATCATTAAATAGGGAAACATGGGAAACAAGCTGAGTATCTCGCCAGAGGGAAACGGTTAAACTAAAGGATGTCTACCTGTCCAGCAGCGCGTGATATGCCCATTGAAATGGAAAATGTAATTTACTGTCATGAAGAGACAGGCAAAAGACACTAAAGAGCGGTGATATCCTATTGAGTATGTATACAATACATGTATTTTTTTTTAAAAAGTCAGGAAGGTTACACAGTTCACCCTTGGTATCCATGGATTCAATAACCAACCCCAGGCTGTGTAATGCTGCATTTACAACTGCTGTTGGTTGGAAGCCGTGGGTACCGAGGGCTGACTGTGGAACTTGAGCTTGAGCATCCACAGATTCTGGTGTCGGCAGCAGGTCCTGGAACCAGCCCCCTGAGAATATTGAGGGTTAACAATACGTAACAATGTTGTGTATACCAGAAACTGACACGGCAGTGGAAAGCAATTATATTACAATTAAAAAATAAATAAATAAATACAGAGAACCTGCTGTACAGTTCAGAGAAAAAAAAGATCTATTGTATAGCACAGAGGACTATGCTCAATATCCTGCAATAAACCATAACAGAAAAGACTGAGAAAGAACATGCATATGCATGTGTAGCTGAATCACTTTGCTATATAGTGGAAACTAATGCAATGCTGTAAATAAACTATGCTTCAATAAAATAAAATTTAAAAATAAAAAATGTTAACTGTGGCCTTCTTTGGGTGGTGAAATCACGAGTAACGTTTGTTTTTGCTTATTCAAGTTTTCTGAGTCTCTGTTATATTTGATAGCCCAGTGAATCCTTAGAGCAATCCCAAGTGGTACATTACCAACCCCATTTTAAAGGTGAGGAAACTGAGGCTGGGAAAGGGGATGGCACACAACCATGGTCCAGAGAAAGAACTAGACCAAGATGCCTTGGCCCCAAGGCCCAAGCGCCGCCCCTCCCCGCCTCCACGGACCCTGGGCCACGGCCGCCCCCAGCGGCCCAGAGACCCCTGCTGTACTCACGCTCAGGCTCCGGCTTCTCTGTGTCCCCCACTCGCAAGGGTCGGGCTTTGGGCTCCTCTTTGTTTCTCCGTATGGGAGCGTTGAGCTCCTCGTGGTAAACTGGACGGGAGACCGGGGGGCATGTCAGACACAGTAGGGGGCCCTGGGGACCTCAGCCCAGGGGTGAGGGGTGGGGTCGCCCCCCCGGAGCCATGGCGCTTACAGCGGTTGTGCTGCACGTAGTTCACCGCCATGTTGGTGGGCACGAACGAGGTCTCGCTGTCTTTCTTCTTGTTCTGCTGCTCAGCCAGCAGACGGGCCTTCGCGTCCTCCGTGGAAATGATGTTTTTTATTTTCGCACTGTGGGGAGAGAGGGGCCACACCATGGTTAGCGCTTTGCAACTGTGGGCCTCAGATGGAACTGACTGCGGGCTCCAAGCACCCCCCGCTCAGCTGCATTAAGGATGTCATCCTTCTCAGGGCACACTCTCTGCAGCTCACCAGCTCCCCTGTGGCAGGAGTGTCACTGCGCTCTCACAGCATCAGAGATGCAGGACTTACTCTCTTCTGATCAAGGGGAAACTGTGCCAGAGGTCAGGAGAACTCCCTAAGGCTCAAAGCCAGTGAGGCCAGCAAGGAGGTGAGAACCCAGAGGTCTCCCAACTTTCTACCACACCTGAAGAAGATTCTGACCCTGTATTTGCTCCAAAGAAGTCCCCTTTTAGAGCAGATGCTTTGTAGTTAAAATAAAAGGAGGATCACGGGGTGGGTGAACCTTATCACTGCTCCTGCCGAAGAGAGCAGGAGAATACAAGGACCTATTTGAAGAACTGTGAACAAAAGCTAAATAAAAACAAACACTTTCGGAACTTCCCCAGTGGTCCAGCTGTTAAGAATCCACCTTCCAATGCAGGGGACTTGCATTTGATCCCTGGTTGGGAAACTAAGATTCCACATGCCATGGAATAAGCCTATGTGCCACAACTAGAGAGAAGCCAGCATGTCACAATGAAAGATCCAGCATGCTGCAACTGAGACCCGAAGCAGCCGAATAAATAAATAAAAATAAAAGAGAGAACAGAAGTATACCTCTACTTTATAAAACAAACCAAAAGTTTTGTTTTTGGTGGTGACAGTTCCTTGTGTCTTTAACTGCTCTGACCAACCCAGAGAAACTATGGGCAACAACCATGTCTGCAGACCAGAGAGGGTAAGTTTGTATCTGTGGGTTTCCAAGGAGACAGATTAAGAAAACAGCCCCCTTAACTGTTAACTGGAAAGAAGAGAGCTGGCCCTTTTGCCTAGGGCGGGAGAGAGGTGCAACCGTGGGTCTGAAACTCACTCGATGCCGAGGTCCACCTCGGGGATGCCGCTTAGCATCTGGTTGGACAGCATCTCCTCCGTCTTCTTTGCCGAGGAAACCCGGATGTTTTCCGGCAGCTCATAAAGGCAATCCTCTGCATTCTTTGGCTTGACTTTCTGTTCCTCATGTTCCACGATCCCTTTCCGCTTCTTCAGCTCTGTCTCAATGTACTTCATCCTGAAACAAGATACCCGCAGGCCTCAGGGAGGGGCAGAACAGCTCCAACCCTGGCCCAGAGCCATGATGAGTGATGTTGAAGTTGTCATCATTCCATGGAGAAGTGAGAAAAACAAAAATAACTTTTGAGTTTTTAAATCAAGCTACAATCTTTCCATTTAAAGCACCAATCTATATAATGAGATCCTGTCTCACCACATCGTATCTAAGTTTCTTTGATGGCAGATTTTATTTAACAGCCTTGGTGGCAAAATGAAAAATGGGCAAGTCCAATGTTTCTCCCTGCAATTTCTTTTAGGGGGTGGGATGGGAATACTACTAGCCAAGGAATCTAAAAATTCTAAGAACCACGTTCTTAAAGAATTCTTGAGGATTTCAAAGTTCTCAAGCCTGAGGTGGTGGGGTAAGGGGGACAAGGAACACAAGAGGGATCAAATTTGCTGTTTTTGGATAAGATTAGAAATGTCATCTGTGACTAAATGTCTTAGACACTATCTGGCTGGAGCCCACCCCCAATCGCTCACTGCTAAAAACACTGACACCTACATGTCAGCATCCTCGTCCCTTCGGTTGGTTTCTGCGGAAAATGATGTCCCCAGATGGAGGTCTTCCTCTTCGCTGATCCTACAAAAAAAGAGAACAGTGAAGGAGAGCCTTAGAGTCACAGATAAATGAGGCTGAATAGGATACTACATGAATAAAACAAGTATGCAATGAAATGTACAACATCCTGTCCATGGTTGGAAAACAATAAGATACATATATAACATGCAAACAGAAGGAACTCCAGGAATATACGCAAGCATGCTGACGGCTTCTGGAGATACTTCAGGGGGAATGAGTAGATATATTTATTTTTCACTTTTGCATTGCTTGTATTATCTTGGTAATTGTGTTTCTGTTTTTCCTGAAAAAGAAAAATAACTTCCACATGGGTTTGAAAGACAATATACAATGCACCTTTACAAGAGGTGCCTCCTACATCACGCTAAGAGTTTTTGTTTTCTTTTGCTTTTAAACAACATACTCTTTACAGAGCACAAAGGGTACTTCAAGTCGTATAAAAGCTGCAGCACGTCCCAGCTCCGTGGGGGAACACAAACCCAGGCAAGCGATGCAGGTGAGTTTAATTCTGAGCCTGTTTTGCACGTACTTATCTTTGCCCCTTTCCTTTAGTTTCTTCATGTCCACCATCCCGCCTGTCTTCATCTGAAAGGGATCATCCTGCAGAAAGCAAACAGCGGAGAAGAAGCATCTGTGTAACTTGCAGTGGAATGTTTGAAAGAAAACTCAATCACCCACTGAAGAGCAGTCTTCCCAGGGCCCAGGGAGGGTCCCACAACTCACCACTAGAGTGGTCTCTTCTTGTACCTTCTCTCCCACCAGCAGGGCAACAGCACTGAGAATAACCAAAAAGCAGAGGAGAGAGAGAGAGATGGCATAGATCAGAGATGAGGAGGAACATTCTGGAAGTCTGCAACATTAGTGCAGGGTTAAGATTTGAGGATTGGACACCAACGCCAGATGGAAAAGCCTACAAGAATAACAGGGATCAAGAGACACTGTAGGGACCTCCGCTGTGGTCCAGTGGCTAAGACTCCTCGCTCTCAATGCAGGGGCCCTGGTTGGGGAATTATCCCACATGCAGCAACTAAGAGTTTGCATGCTTAAATGAAGACTGAAGATCCCATGTGCCACAACTAAGACCTGGTGCAGCCAAAATAAATTTTATTAAAAAATAAAAGAGAGCAAGAGGGACACTCTAGATGTGAGGTGGGGGCAGTGTTCACCTAAGTGGTACACTTTCCTACAAAGTCATTTGGGATTATCTTAGCTTAGAAACCTCATTTCTAAGATTTTGCCTTCACGGAAAATGAGGCTAAAGACAAGTGTAGGAAAACACTACTGCAGTCTTATTTGGTGGTGAAATTTTGTACAATGACCTACAGATCCCAAAATAGAGGGGATAAGTTAAATTATAGTATGTATATCTGGTGGAATATTATGAAGCTATTAAAAAGGTTTTTTGGGGAAAAGATTACCCACAATGTGGATGAATACCCACAATATCATGAGTTGAAAATACGGTAGTCCTCCCCCTTAGCTGTGGTTTCACTTTTCACAGTGTCAGTTATCTATAGTCCAAAAATATTAAATATAAAATTCCAGAAATAAAAAATTCATAAGTTTTAAATTATCTATCAGCTATTATGAACAGTGTGATGAATCTCTGCCCTCTTGCCTGGTCCAACAGAGAAGGTGAACCACCCTTTTGGCCTGAGGGTCCACACTGTATACACAACCCACCCATTAGTGTGGGAAAAAATAGTCTGCATAAGATTTGATACTATTTAAGCTTCAGGCATCCACTGGGGGTCTTGGAACATAGCCCCTGTGGATAAGAGAGGACTACTGAAGCATAGGAAAAAATAAGGCTGCTCACAGTCTTTACAAAAGACAGAGAAAAAAGACAGGGAAGAACATTAAATGTCAACACTGGTCACCTCTTTATGGGAGAATATAGGTACTGTTTATTTTCTTGATTATACCTCTCTAAATTTTCCCACTCTTAACAATCAGTGTGCATTTCACAATTAATTTAAGTGTAATAAAAACACTAGTCTGGAATTCCCCGGTGGTCCTGCCAATGCAGGGTACATGGATTTGATCCCTGGCAGGGGAAGATTCGGCAAGCTGAGGGGCAACTAAGCTTGTGAGTCACAACTACAGAGCCCGCGTGCCGCAAGTCCTGAAGTCTGGGCACCCGAGGGCCCGTCTTTTGAAACAAGAGAAGCCACTACAACGAGAAGCCCAAGCATCACAACTAGAGAAAGCCCCTGCATAGAAACGAAGACCCAGTGCAGTCAACAGTTCAGCTCAGTCGTGTCCAACTCTGCAAACCCATGGCCTGCAGGACACCAGGCTTCCCTGTCTGTCACCAACTCCCAGAGCCTACTCAAACTCATGTCCGTCTTGTCGGTGATGCCATCCAAACATCTCATCCTCTGTCATCTCCTTCTCCTCCTGCCTTCAATCCTTCCCAGTATCAGGGTCTTTTCCAGTGAGTCGGTTCTTCATATCAGGTGGCCCAAGTATTAGAGTTAAAACAAACCAAAAACACTAGCAATGACCTGTAGCTCTGGAAGAAGTGAAACTTGCTCAGTCCTGTCCGAGTCTTTGCGACTCCATGGACTATACAGTCCATGGAATTCTGCAGGCCAGAATACTGGATTGCGTAGCCTTTCCCTTCTCCAGGGGAATCTTCCCAACCCAGGAATCGAATCTAAGCCACCCGCATTGCAGGCGGATTCTTTACCAGCTGAGCCACGAGGGAAGCCCAAGAATACTGGAGTGGGTAGCCTATTCCTTCTCCAGCAGATCTTCCAGACCCAAGAATCAAACCGGCGTCTCCTGCATTGCAGGCAGATTCTTTACCAACTGAGCTATCAGGCAAGCCCATGGTAGCGCTGGAGCAAACTTCAGGACCACAAGGCTCAGGGCATGTCCTGAGCATTGAACATTTGCAAAAAAACCAAAAAAACAAAAATGCTTGAGTCCCTCTCCAGGCAGTACAAAGTGTAGTGTGTCAAGAAAAGGGGCTGTCTATGTCTAAGAATATATTTGTGACAACGACCCGGGTAAGGGAAGAGGAGTTGGGGTACGTGGTGTCTCTGTCATCCCCTCCTGTTCTGGGTCCTCCACTCCCAAGCAGTACACACCTCACCCCGTTGGGCCTCTTCCTCAAGTTCTGCACCTCTCGGGTCTCTTCCAGTTTTAATCTTATGAGAGAGAGAGAGAGAAAAGGCAACGCACAGGTTGAGATACCCTTCACCGAACTCTAAGAGTTAAAAGGCAGTTTCGACGGACACCAATGACCGGCCGTCGAGCCGCCCGCAAGTGTCCAGAGAGTAGAGTGACTGCGTCTTGACCCACCAGGAGTCAGATCTACTTCGCATCCCAGGGGCACCCCTCCCAACCATGAGACCTCTGGGCGGCGGTCTCATCCCTAGGAGTCTCATTTTCTTCGTTCGCAGAGGGGTAACGACACCGCTCACAGCAATGATGTCAACGAGGTACCCGGCTGGTCGTGAGCTCCCCTAGGTTGCTTCTTTCTTCCTGCCCCGTAGGATCCCGCCCCAAACGCACCGAACCTCCTCTGAGTCCTGCTCATCTTCCTCCGACTCCGAGTCGGCGCGGCGCCGGCGGAAAGTCTTCCCGGTGACCGGCATAGTCGCACCGGCCCCTCGGTCTAGAGTCGCGGAGCCCCAGCGCCGAGATCTGGGCTACTTCCGGCGCGCGGCTGTGAGGTCTGAGCGCCGGCCCGGCAGGGCCCCGCCCCTAACTCCGGCCCCGCCCCCGGCCCACACGCCCATCTGACCACGCCCCCGTCCGTGGTGTCGGCCTCTCCCGATTGGGCAACCCAAGGGGGAGGAGGCGGGGCGCGGCTGGCCGGGCCTCGGGACCCTGCGCCCGCGGCTCGGAGGGCGCGCTTGACTGACAGTCGGCGGTGGCGGCGCGGTTGCGACTGCAGGTGAGTTCTGGACCGTCGCCGGCTGCTTCAGGGGGCCGGGTCTCTCCGAGCAGGGGCGACTCCAGGCCGGCGGGGACCTGGCCCTGCCTGGTGCGCAGAACGCCGCGGCCAGGTGAGCGGAGCCCGGGACCCCCCTCGGCCGCCACCGCCCTGACCCCTCCTCCGGCCGGCGCCCAGGGTATCTTCTCGGGCCGCAGGCGCCCCACTTCGAGCCCCTAGGGCTCACTGATTCTTCGGAACAGGGGGCGCCATCTCTTTCATTTCTGCCTGGGCCTGACCCAGCGTTGAAAGCACGCTTGTGGCGTCTCGGACCGCTGACTTCTTTCCTCCGGGTCTGGGCCCTGACGTGCACTTTTTTTTTCCTGTAGGGACAAAAGATGACCACTTCTTAGCCGTGATGAATTAAAGCCCCAGCCCCGACTCCCCCGCTAACGATCGCTTCCAGCCACTTCTCCCGGAGGAGAATCGTGTCTGGTGTCCCACTCGGGAGGGTTTGAGGGGAGAGTGTGCTTGCTGGCCGCTTCCCGGGACCTTCGTGGGCCTTGTTTTCATCCTTTGTCACGAGGACTGTCGCTCTGGCCTCCGCCCCTTCTAACCGAGGATGCTTTGAGGATTAAGTTTATTTGAAAAACAGGAATCAACCGATGCTTAGGATATAACTAAATGCATAACTAATGGCTTGCGGGACATCTAGGAAGCCCTTATTACTTTTCCTTTTTTCAATATGCTGTCTGTCCTTTCCTTAGCAAGAGCCACCTCTTATTAAGCGCTTAACGTGGCAGGCACTGGACTCAGCTTTATTTCATTAAATTCATCCAACAATCCTAGGAAGAAGAGTCAGTTATTGTTTCTCATTTTGCCAAAGAAGACACTAGGGCTCAGAGAGGCAGTATGTACCTCAGGGAACACAGCTGGAAGGGGGAGCAGAAATCAGTTACAGGCCTCCCTCGCTGCACCTTGCCACAGTACCTGGCACAGTAAGAGTTGGTTTTCTGCAGGTTCCCTCCTCGGGAAGACCATCCGGAAGTCGGGCAGCCTTTCTGGAATGCCTTACTGTTCTCCGGAACAGTCTCCTCTGAGGTTGCCGTCCTCTTCCGTCTACTGAGACAGATAGTAGACTCGGGACTTGTTGGAACAGACTTGTGGCTTTGATGAAAAGCCATAGTTTAAAAGTGCACAGGTCTAGCCCTCTGCAGTCTGGTTCAGCCAAAGCCAGATGCACATGGGAGTCACTGGGCCCCTTTTCCGTGATGGCTGAAGGAGAGGCTCCTTGGGAACTGCCGCAGGAACCCAGGGAGTGGACGTCTGCAGCTCTCACGCTCTCAGAGTTGGCTCCAATTTTGCCCATCCAGGAGCCCTCCCACCAGTGGGTACTGGACAGCACTGAGGAGAGGGCTGCAAGGCCAAGGACATATCTGCTGATATCCCAGGGAGGACCATCTGGTGCAGATGTACTGTCCCTGCTGGGCAAGACCAGCGTGCCCACTGATAACCTCGGCCTGACTGAGGCGAGTTCAGCAGAAGTGATACTGCAGAAGTGGCAGTGGTGAATCTGGCAGCCTGTGGCTGGGCTGAGGGGCTGCAGATCCTCTGAGCTTTGCTGGGCCTTTTAGGGGGTGGGTTGAAACTGCTTGGAGGGAGCCTGTGGGAAATCTGAGTTCTCTTCAGTTCAGAGAAATGCCATGTTTTTAGTTTGGTTTGAAGGTTTGGTTCTTGAAGAAAATGTCCAGGTTTGGCTTGAGTTTGGTTTCATGCACTGGCTCCTGGAACCAGGTGAAATGTGAGCTTGTCTCGGTGAGCATTAGTTAATGTCTCGGTCGATTTGGGAATCCAGCAAAATGATTGCAGCTCACAGCCTGGCCATCGTAAGCATTCATTGAGTGTTTGTGGGACAGACTTACTTATTCAGCAAATATTTACTGCGCTTTCAGTATACGGAACAGGCACTGCTTTGGGTGCTTGAAATACGTCAGGGAGCAAAAGAGACTAAAGACCCCCTGAACTCGTGGACTTTATGTTCAGATAACCTGATAACTATGTAAAGATATTAGAAGGATGCTATGGGGGGGAAAAAAAGTAGAGCAAGGGGAGGAAATCAGGATCGAGAGAGAGAATTGACTTGCATTTTTTAATTGGTGTTCTGGTTTGTGTTTTGGTCAGTAACACGACAAAGCAGTGGACTGAATTGTAGGCCCTGGGTTCAAGAACCAGTTCTGCCAGCTTGCTGTGTGAGCCTGGACAGGAGCCTTTCCTTCTCTGAGCCAGTTTCCCTACCAGAGCCCCTGCTCTGCCATTCGCTGGTTGTGTGACTTCAGCATGAAGCTCTCTCATCCTCTCCTGCTTGCTGGTTTTCTGGGCCCTGGTCTGAGTTTCTGCTTTTACTTACTCCAGGCATGCAGCTTCTCAGCGACCTTGCCCAGTCACTGCCTCTAGCCTGTCTGCCCCCAGGGACTGCCAGCATGGAGCAGCCGTAACCCCAATTAACAGACTCTTACAGACCCTCGGACAAAGTGCAGTCCCAGGCTTCAGGCTATGCAAGGATGTTATCCTAAACTTAAGGAACTGAAGTTGAGCAGAAAAAAGTGCTGTGTGAAGAATGACTTGTGCTTGTGAGGAAGGCCAGGGGAAGCCACCCTTGGAGTGTGGGCATTTGGGTCCGAGGAGGTGAAGGTCATCACCCCTGCTGCAGGCTGTTCGGCAGCTGGTAGAGCTGATAGTTCAGAGCACTGATTTCGGGGCAGGCTGTCCTGGCCTTGAATCCTGGCTCAGCTGCTTGGTAGCTGTGTGACCCGCAGCCAGTTCCTTCCCCTCTCTGAGCCTCAGCCTTCCCTCTTTTAGTGACGGAGGCGAGATGGATTTCACTCTCAATGTTGCCTGATGGGTTCTGAGGATTTCGTGAGGTCTGTTAGTATCCGTTTTCCAGTTCACAGGTCCATCCTGAATGGGGGCAAGTAGAACTTGGCAAGGAAGAAGTTCCTGCCTTGAGAGTTGAAAGGACGGTGGACCCTGCAAATTAAGACTGCTTAAAGAGAGGAATTTGGGGGCAAGGGGGTGGCTTGGAAGTAGAGTGGGGAGAAGGCAGGAGGGGGAGGGCAAGAGGACATGTTTTGTGGGGTAGAGGGGAGTGTGGAAGGGTGTGGGCACAGGTGTGTGGGGTGGCCAGTGTGGTGAGGATCAGGGCAGGGGGGTGTCCTTGTGTTGGTGGCAGACTTGGCAGCATCGCCTTTAAATCCTGAGGAGCTGGGCTCTCAGCTGGCAGGAGGATGTAGCCAGAACCTCCAGGAAGTTGATGAGTAATGGGCCCCTGAGGCCTGGTCTCAGCGGTGGTGCCAGGCCCAGATGTGCTGCCTCACTGCCTGCGCCCCTGTGTGGGGCTGAAGTGGGAGTGACTTTCCCCATCACTCCACGAAGGCCCCGGGGAGGGGGGGACTCGTCCGCCCTTGTCCAGGATGAAGAAGCCTCTTAGATGTCTCATCCGGGGCCTGCAGTGGGCAGGCTCTCTGCCAGACCTGCCAGCCTGCCTCCTCTCCTCCTGCTTTCTCATCTCTGAGAGAGGAGGTGGGTCTGGTGGGTCAGAGGGAGAGGTGCCCCAGGTGTCTGTAGTGGAGGCGCAGCCCCTTGGCTGGCATCTCGTATACCAGCTCTGGGGAGGTGACTCTTAACAGCACCGTGGAGCTGCTGCTCTCAAGAGGGCCCATGCCCAAATCCAGGCCTCCCCGCAGTGGAGGTTTCTTTCCTTTTCAGTCTTTATTAAACACCTGCTGTGTCCTTTCCATTTATTTTGCGCAGAGGGAAGGATGGGAAGGCGGACCCCCGCCTGGCTCACTTCCCGCTGTCCCACTCCCTTGCTCTGTGGTCTTGGGCAAGTGCCTTCCATTCTCCGAGCCTCTGTTCTTCTCCATAAAATAAGAAACAGCAGTCCTCACCCGAGAGTGTGCAGTGAAGCGCTGTGCATCATGCCTGGCTCAGAGTAGGCACTCGGTCATGGAGCTCCTGTTGTTGAGCTGTTGTTATTCAGTCGCTCAGGCATGTCCGGCTCTTTGCGACCCATGGACTACAGCACGCCAGGCCTTCCTGTCCATCACCAACTCCCGGAGCTTGCTCAAGCTCATGTCCGTTGACATGAGTTAAGGTTACCGTTTCCAAACCTAAGTGAGATAAAGGGAATCTTTAAAAAGTTTCTATTTTGATCATGTAAGTGCCTGTTCAGAGTTTCAAAATTTTAAAATGCCAAATATTTTCATGCTCACTTGCATCTGGTAATCTGGAAAATCTTCAAAGAAAAATTGAAAGCCAGTTGTATTTAACCAGCCTCAAATTGTGCAACCATGATGTGTAATAAAGAATTTGAAACAGAAAAAAAAGTTTCTATTTTGAAAAAAATCAAACCCAGACAAGTAAAAAGAGTCATAAAATGAAATCCCATCTACCTTTCATCTGTATCCACCAATTATTAATATTTTTGCCCGTTTACTCTCTGTATTTATACATTCATCATCATCAGAATTATTCTTGCCAATCCGTTTAAGAGTAAGTTGCAAATATCATGACCCTTTGCCCCGCAATATTTAGGAGGAATTATCTAAGAACAAGGATACATAACCAGAAAATGGTTTTCATCTTGAGAAACTTTTTTTTTTTTACTACATCAGGGCTTAGTTGCAGAGCTTGGGTTAGTTGCCTGGAGGCATGTGGGATCCAAGTTCCCTGACCAGGGATCAAACCCACATCCCCTGCATTGGAAGGCAGACTCTCAACCACTAGACCGCC